ATATATATATATATATATATATATATATATATATATTATATATATATATATATATATATATAAATATGTATATATATATATATATTTATAATTTTTTTTTACTTGTTTTATTATTGTTTTATGTTTCTTATTTATTTATGTTGTAGTAGCCAGCCAAAATTATGACACAACTATTCATATTTTGTGATTATTAGAGTTGTCACGCAGAGAAAAATAAAGGCAGTATGATGCAGTTTTTCATTTTATATTTAATTTATATGGTTCAATAGAGTTGTTTGTTTTATGTTTAATTTACATTTAGTTATGGTTTAACTCTTTCACTACCGCAAAGCCACTGGTAGCGCTTTTGAGTATGTTTTACAATTTATCTCGTTTAGTACACAAATTTCCATTCTAGACACATAGAATTTGTTTGTTTTGAAAGTTTAATTAATTGTCTACATAAAGAATCAAGAAAAAATAAGAGCTATAATTGTGTAATTATAAAAAAAATATCACTAAGTTAAAAAATCTTGAATAAACCTTCATAAAAAAAACTTTAAATTAAATTATAAAATAAAACAGTGTTAACACTGTAAAATTAACTTGTAAAAGTGTTAAGTATTTAGTTAAGTAATTACCAAAGTATTTTGAAGAAAAAATATTATTTTAATTCATTAAATGAGGTTTGTTTTGGACTTAATGTTTTAGTTATTACTTACAAAAACAATAGTTTTAAGCGCTTTGCATTTCTTATTGTTTAATAAAGCGTGTTAAAAACTTTTTTATTATCGAATTTTAATTAATTGTCAATATTATGCTATTCAAACATTATTCAAAAAAATGTGCGGTTGCTACAGAAAGATTTTTTTTTGGCTGGTAGCGAACAATTTAATGTGATTCTTTGTTTTTATATTTATATTATAACTGTTTCTTGTATATTTTAGTACAAATATTTGTTTTAACTTTAATTTAGTTTGATTTGAATGGTTATTAATAAAATAAGTCGTTTAATACTTATTTTCTACTTTGTTCAGTTTATATGTTTTATTCAAGTCACTAGTTTTTTTTTTTCAGTTTATACCTTAAATTAATTTATACGCTTTAGTAAAATTATTCTTTTAGTATCTAGTTTATATTTCATTTAAACCAGTACGTTTTACTGTAAATATTCGTTCTATATTAAATTTTTATTTTTATAAATTTAATTTTTAATTGCATCATAAACTTTTTTTCGGATTTAGTAAAAAGTTATACAATTAACATGATTTGGTGATTTTGGCAAAAAAATAAAACGACATCTTGAAAGAAAAAATTTATACGATGATGTCATATACCGAAACTGTTATGAACTAACACGCATTGAATAATTTCATCAAATCTGCAGATTGTGGCTAACATTATACAGACTCCGAGAACCAAAAAAAATGGAGACAACAAGCTTCAACTAAAACGTGAATTTTATATTTAATGGTGTGCATTCATTATAAAGTTTTAATCAAAAAAATTCAGCCCAAATGTTTTTTTTAAACATTTTCTTTAATATGAACACAACTTGTCTCAGCAGTTAGGGATCCCTTTAAACTTTTTAAAACAAATTCTATTGCATTTAATATACCATCGGCATCAACTGTCAGTGGTGACTTAATAGCAGCAAATATAATTATTGGATTACCATTTTTAAGAAACCTTAAAAAATCTGTTTTTGGTTCACTAATACTCTTATCAGTGGAACCGTCAGATAAAATTGCAGTAAAAGGGCATTTGATACGTCTAAACTTAATTCGCGTTTTAAGTCAGAAGAAATTAAGGAAACAAATTTTTTGCAAGATTTGTCACTTAAGTAGTTCTTGCTCGACTTAATTCCATTTAGCTTTTTTAGCTCGCACAGCTGAGGAAATTTTTTAAATGCAAGGTCCTCTTTAATAACAAAATACGATATCCAAAAAAGTGTGTTCAATTCTTCTTGGTTATTTTCAGTAGTTCTTAAAATTGATGTCGATACAGTTTTCTCAAGACTTTGAGTTATATTGTGAAGGTTCTCTCAATATTTAGAAATACAGGCTTTATGCCCATCATCTTTATTGTGGCGTAACAAATATGTTCTTTTCCAAAATTTACATCCCATTGTTACTGAATTGGTTGCATTGCTAATATTTTGATACTTTTGGCAAACCCAGCAAGAGAAACACTCACTTGATTTGTCAATATGAATCAAGCTTAGTTGTTGCCCGTGTTTTTTATTCCTTGGCGGCAATCCATTTACGGTGTTCCAAAACATAAATTTAATATCTTTTATCCCAAAGTCATAGCACAATCTAAGTCATTGCATTTTGTTTTTGCATGTTTATTTGCTCTCTCTTCTTCTACTTTACATCTAATGCTACATTCCTCTGTAGCATCTTTCTTTAACATTGAAAAGATGCTTAGTTGTTTTGAAACTTTTTTAAAAACATAAAAATTATAGTATATTAAGTATTTAATAATAAGTTAATAAAATTCCATATTATTGGTGTTGTTATACGCACAATAAAAAAAATTAAAATTTTAACAAACATAATAACTTTACATATACTATTAGATTTTGTATTTTTTAGCAAAACTTGAACATTATTTTTAAAACTATTATAAGTTTTAAAATGCAAACTAACGTTACTTCACTTTAAGGAAAATAATAAGAAAAAAAAAAGCACGCTATTAAAAAAAGCAATCGTTAAGTTTAAGCATGGTTTTTTTTAAAGTAATGGCAAATGCAGCCAATTTAAATAAAATTTAGAATGCTTTTTTAAATGCATGCAAAAACCATGCTCAAAGTAAGTACTTTCTTTGAAATTTTCGTAACTTTTTTGTGTTTTTTAGAATAAATAAAAAACGTTCAATGGTTAATTATTTGGAAAAAAAAAATTGCTGTAGTAACGCGTTCATTTTGAAAAATTTTAGGCGAATGCCAACGTTTGCGTAAGTAAAAGTAAAGGAGCGTGACATTCATTTTTCTGTCTTTTTTTGTGCAGACATTCGCACGTTCGTCGAATTTTTGCGCCTTGATATATATATATATATATATATATATATATATATATATATATATATATATTATATATATATATATATATATATATATATATATATATATATATATATACATACATATATATATATATATATATATATATATATATATATATATAATTTATTTATTTGAAAATCTAAATCTCTTAAATGTTGATGCTTACCTAACTGTTAAAGTATATATATATATATATATATATATATATATATATATATATATATATATATATATATATATATATATATATATATATATATATCAGGATTTCCCAGGAACGGCGTGCGGTCGCATGCCTTGGTTGTCCACTCATAGAATAAATTTTTCAGAAAACGTGACTGCGGCATTATTTTGTAAGAAAGCGGAAATTATCCACAGAAAATAAAAAATAATATTAAAAAAATGAAACGAAGTCTAAATAAAGTATCAAATTGAAATTGGATGTAAGAAAAATATTTTGATAATAAAAAAAAATTAAAAAAAAAAAAAATTCTTGTAACAAAAAAAAAAAAAGTCTTGAACATTTTTTTCAAAATTTTTATACTGTTTTTGTTTTTTTTTATTAGGGTTGCTATTTTCAGCTACAAAATTTGATACAAGTCAAGGAAAAGACAACGATAAGTCATAAAGTTTTCACGAAAATAAAAAGACTTGATACGTAATTTATTCACGAACTTTATTAGACAATGTATTAAAAAACTGATTCATTATTTACGCTAGACAAATTTGGTTAAACTTTTTCATTTAATTTAGTTTTTACGAAGGTTTATGCAAAGGCAATGACTTTATTCCCCAATGTTTAGACAAGAAAATAAATTGCTGTTTTAATTATTAAATATATTATTTGAGATTTTAAACATAAAAAAAATTTTAATGTGAAAAAAGTTCTTTCTCGACTTATTCAAAACTGATTATACTGAGTCAATGCTCGCCTTTTATTACGTTGAAATTATTCAATTGCATAATTTTGTAATTACGAAAGAAGTTGAAAAAATATTTGCATTGCTTCTGTTGTCATTGTTACGAAAACAGTTCCTTTGGGACATTATTATATATTAATACTCGTTCACAATGTCAAATAATGATTGCAAAATAAGCAACTCAATCGTTTGACAATATAATTTTCTTTCATTTAAAAAAAAAAAAAACATATTTTACTAATAAATAGCAATCGTTTTCGTGTAATATATATATATATATATATATATATATATATATATACATTTAAACATTTAAATGTATTTACGAAACATTTAAAAATTGTTTATAGTTCTAGTGTGAATTTTAAAGTATTACTGACTGATAAAAGTCATAAACAAATTTTACATTAAAAGGTCCTTTTATTTTCTTTAAACATTAATCTTTTTCTTTTTGATTTGATTTTTCTTATTGATTTGATTTTTCATAGCTTAAATAACTACCACCCTAAAAAAATAAAACTATAAAATATAGGTAAATTTTTTTTTTAATAATATACATTAATTTTTTAATTTTAAAGCACAAACAGATTTCTGTTATTTACTTTAAGATTGCTTGCATTTTTGCGGTATTTTCGTTTAACTTTGCGACCGCACGCCTTTCCTGGGAAAGCCTGATATATATATATATATATATATATATATATATATATATATATATATATATATATATATATATATATATATATATATATATATATATATATATATATATATATATATATATATATATATATATATATATATATATATATATATATATATATATATATATATATATATATATATATATATATATATATATATATATAAAACAAAATTAAATTTCCTAGAATTATTTTAATTCCATAAAAATGGTACTAGCCAATATTTATTATTTTGTACCATATCAAACTAAACATCCAAAAAAGTACAAATATATGCAGTAGGTGCTTAGCATATATAAGAAGAATTGTCTGGAAAAAACATGAACAAAC